ATATACAGAATTAAGCCGAATTCGATACATCACTTTGTAAATTTTAACTCTTATTCTTTAATCACAATTACTCTATAATACGCAAAGGTCATAACCAGATTAATTGAAGGGCATATACTAAGGTTTATTGAAGCCTTAGCCATACAAAAATTTAACACCCATTTGTATATTCAAAAATAGTTTGTTCTCACCTTAAACCTACCCTGATAATATTAATCTGTTATCTAAAGTGATGAGTTTTCACATAGTTTTTCATATTATTTACCTTGTTGTCTTTGTCTTCTCCTACCCTCCATTCCTAGTCTAGTTGACTTTTGTTTGTTATGTATAACTGCTCTTAACAAGTATTAGTCTGATCAAATTGTTCGAAATATATTGCGTTAATATATCACATGGTTCTAATAATCTTCCTCTTCTTATTAAACTATCCAAATGTATCAAAGGGGCTAATTGCTTTAAATTGAAAAATAACCAGAATTCCTGAATACCATACCCTTATTTGACATGAAAACAATGTAAATAACTCTAGTACCATGTCACATTATCTTAATATAAATTATATATATATATATATATATATATACAAATATATTCCAGCAGCATTGACTCTAATCATTCATTCGGGTACTTGTTTTTTTTTAAGTCATCAATTGATCAATAATGATCCTCATTTATATTGACCTTCATTTGATCTACTTAAAACATATCAACAAAATCTCTCATCTTCTAGTTGAATCCTTAACCTTTAATCCATAATAATAATATCTAAAGACTTTTAACTAATTTGATGATTCAACTACGAACTACATTCTATAATTTCTACTCATTACACACATTCATATACGAACTTACATAACCTGTTCATTACATTAATTATCTCATCTACATATATATATATATATATATATATATATATATATATATATATATATATATATATATATATATATATATACCTTAGTGAAACATTAAAATAAAATGTAACCGATGAAAAGGGAATTTTTGATTTCCCAAGAGATTTATTGTATTTGATTTATTATATTGAATTATATTGTTTAATAATATAAACTTTATATTTACATGATTTATTATCATTTACTATGTGTACATTTGGTTTGTTAACACAAACATTCAGTTAAAACCATCATACATTATGAACACTAAGTATCCATTAAAGTATCTAGTTCGATTATTCATTTAGAGATAATGAAACATATTTACAACAGTATGTAGAATATAAAATGAAGTAGTGGTTTAGCAACAACAACAACACCACCACCACCACCGCCAACAACAAACGAACAAACAACATTGTAACTTATCCATTCATACATGTCACTAACTAATTAACTAACTAACTATTAGTGATTAGAATATTACTTTTTTCAATAAATAAATCAACATAACTAGTAAACAAAACATGAATTGGTATCTGAATGAAATAGAAATTTCATTTTCTCTGGGGTATTTATTTTAAGCTATTTAAATTGCTTTGGTCTTTTTTTACAAATGTTTAGCATATTTATGAATAAAAGAATCAGTTATGAATTCATTTGATGTCGTTTACATGTATCTTCCTATGGTTGTTCAGGACTGTAATTAATCAATATGTTATAGGCATATGTTCATCCTGTGCGGACTGTTTCCGTATTGTCTTAATTCACAAGCATTATAAGCAAAGATAGAAAGTGGCTAACAGTGGAATCCAGGACATGTAGTTCATCCTACTTAAGACTTGTCTGCTGGATGTACCTGCATCCAGCTTGTGACTGTTTGAACTTCGAAGGTAAGTGGATAACGTGATAGTGTTTGAAGCGAACGGTACTGGGTTTGAGTCCCAGTGTGAACACCAACTGTGAGATGAGGGTATATCCAGCTGACGAGTCTCAAATAGGACGAAATGCGCATTCTGGATTCCACTGTTAGCCATTTTCCATCTTTGCTTATAAATCAGCTATGGGTTTGTTAATCTACATTTAAGTGCGGTTATATTAATATTCAGAAGCGTTAAATGAAGTGAAAATTTAGTTAAGTTTTGATTTAGGACTTCGAAAGAAGAATCTTGAGAATTTTACCCGAAATAAAGAAACTGCAAAAATTCAATTGAAATTATGATTCAATCAATTACTAATGGAAATTTTACTATGCAATACTGATTTTGACACTGTGGTAAGGTTATTCGGTCTTCACTTAGTGGACTGTAGGTTCGAATTCTGCCTAATATATCATACTTTTTACAGATAAATTATATTAATAACCTAAACATTAAGTATGTTGTTCAGAGCGGAGAAAATAAACATGTGCTTATTATATAAATTTAATGAAAAGAACTTCAGTTATTCGGAAATTGAAATTATGCAGTTAAACCTAACAAACTGGTGACTTCTCAATGAGTAGAAAAATTAGATTTTCTAACGTTTCGTAACTTAGTGTAAGCCACGTCTTCAGAGAATAAATAACCAAATCAAGATTAATCCAAGTTTGGGATATCATAAATATATTACTTATTTATAAAAATCTACCCAATGCTCAATTGATTCGAAATTATCAAGTCAAACCTTGGTAATGATACGTACAAACTGGTGATTGTTTTTAGTTACTGAAAAGCACTTAACTTAGTTATATATAAACCAATTATCAATGAGAATAGTTATATGCTGCAATTATACTTTTCCATGATACTTGAATGTTATAAAAGGCTTTGTATACTGTATTTTGTATAATACGACAATGTCATTATGAATATTTTGGACAACTAGACTCAATACTAGACTCATGAGATACAGTTTTCGAAGTCTTTCTTGAAGAGGTCATCAAGAAGATAAGTCACTTTCTGGGTAATAAAGTTCAATTTAGATTTTCTAAATATTTACTTAATTAAATGAATCATATTTAGCAGTTCCACATAACAAACTGAATTTTATTTTCCGAAATTAAAAAAAAAATTAGGAGACATTATATAACAGCAATGATAATTAATCACAAAACTATGATGGCTAACAATCTTGCATTCATATTGTTGATGACCTATTGAAAGATGTACAATTTCAATTTGTTTCTATGGCATCTTTATTAATGACATTTAAACTATTTATTTTTTAGAAGATCCTTATGAGTTGAAAATGCAATTGTAGTTAGCTTGTTTATTTAGTTTTTCCAATGGTTGAGATCATGAATCAATTGAAGATAGACCACCATAGAAAACTTGGAAGCAATGGACGGCCGTTTCGTCCTATTATGGGACTCCTCAGCAGTGCACATCCACGAGATTCGAAATCAGTTTTTATTGTTACTTAACATTGCAAAGATGATCTAAGTAATTATAACAGACAAAAAGTGATCAAACTTTGTTTCAAGTCGTTTTTCTTTCATGGATTTCTATCACCGAAAGAAGTTGAATCCTGAGGAATGTATTTTATTATCAAGTAAATATGAAGTTATAACATCAAAGACATCAAATTCCATCGAATTCGATGTGATATAAAGAAGTTCTTTAGTTTTTTGCTAAGATTTATGTTGATAACATAAGATATGATATTTTTCGTCCTTTTGCAGTTTGATATTTCTCTACTTTAAAGAAACAATAAATTTATCTGGACAGGCAACTGATTTTTCTTTCTGAATAAACAATACATTTCGTTCTTTTTTAATTTCCTTGAATAGTTTTGTTTATAAAGCTTCATTTAGAAATCTCTATTCACTATTTAAAATGTAGATTCTATTCTGTCAACTGAAATATCTATTCCAAATTATCTGTATCTATATTCATAATGAGAATTATTGAGTAGTAGTCACTGAGTAACGATCAATACCATCTTTACCTAATCCGAGTGATAATTAAATTCGGTTGATCAATTTACAGTTTGATCACTTGTTCAACAAGTTTTCATCGGCTAGAAACTAATATTTTGTGTTTCTAGTCGATTGCTGCCAACCAAACAGTGCACACAATGTCTAGACACTTGTACTATTGATCATATTGGGATTTGATTTTATCAGCACTAGACGTGTCTAACAATGCTTACCATTAAATAATCAATCAGTTTTACAGATGATGAGTTTCTGACAACATTCAACTATCAAAATCTACTTCAACTGATTGGTTATCTTTTTAAAAAATGAACGTCAAGACGGCACGCTAACAGTTAACTAAAATAATTACCGAACAATCAATATTTCATATCAGAAAGGGTTTTATGGGTATTACAGTAATCTCAGATGGTAATCATGATTCAACTGAAGCTAGACAAAGATGGAAAACCTGGAAACCCTGGACAGCCGTTCCGTCTTATGATGGGACTCCTCAGCAGTGCTCATTCACGATCTCACCTCCTGAACCCTGGACTTATCAGTCCTGCGGGCAAGCGCTTAACCACTAGACCACTGAGACGGTCAGCACCCAACAGTGTTAATATCTAATCTAATCTCTATTTTGGCTGGCTTTCTTAGTGTAAAGCTTTATTTCTTCAAATATTGTACTAAGATCATCTGGATACCAAGATTTAATCAATCTTTCTAATAAAAAAACATAATCATGAATAAGATGGATAGTGGCTAGCAGTGGAATCCAGGACGCGCGTTTCGTCCTGTTTGGGACTCGTCAGCTGGATGTACCTGCATCTCAGAGTTGATGTTCACTCTGGGACTCGAACTCAGTACCGTCCGCTTCAAACGCCATCGCGTTATCCACTTAGCTACTGAGTCCTGATAGCCACTTGCTTGTGCAATGGGTTGAAGTTTAATTCACTTGATACATCCAGCTGACGAGTCCCAAACAGGACGAAACGCGCGTCCTGGATTCCACTGCTAGCCACTATCCATCTTTGCTTACAATGCTTGTAAATTAAGGCAATATCGAGGCATACGCACAGTATGCACATATGCCAATAAGAGACTGATCAATTTCAGTCCAAAAACATCAATGGGAAGATTCAAATAAAACAATATCAAGTGAATAATCATGAATAAACGATATTACACAATAGTATTATATTACTTACTTGTGTAAATGCATATCCTTTTGGTTCTTTATAAGATAAAAAAATTTTAGTTCTATTTAAATTTGTTGAATTTGGAAAAATAAAACGTGGTGAATTATCATTTTGATCTAAGATTTGTATACGTATTTGAATAGTTTCAGATAATTTCGGTATCCCTTTATCTTGTGCATGTACAATCAATATAATCATTGGTGTTAACATAGAATAATTTGTTTTATTAGTTAATTGTGATAATCTTTCATAATTATGATTGACATATTCAAATGTTTCATAAGTGGATAAAGCTTTAGATATATAATTAGTACTTTTTGTAATAAGATTTTCACGATCTATTACAGATTCTATATATAATTTAACTTCATATGATGTTTCATTTGTTGTCAAGGCATTATAATAATTTCTATGTAATAGATATGAATTCAATCTAAATTTTGATATGGATTCAATGTATTTCCTTTGTCGTAGACCAGATGAAAGTAAAAGACCTCTTGAATTAAATCTTAACTGTTCAATATCATTAAGTATATTCAAATTATTACTTAGAGATGTTAAATACATATTAGGTCGTTCAATATTCTCTTCAATATAAATATCTAATTCAGCATTTTTACCTAAATCTTTATCTGTAACATAAAATGTACCAATTAATTGTCCAATTGCATTATTTTCTTTAATATTAAATTGTAAATAAGGTTGAGAATAAACAGGTGAATTATCATTATAATCTAAAACTTTTACATGAATTAAAATCTTAATAGTTCTAATTGGTTCACCATAATCGGAACAGATAATAGTTACGGTGAATTCATTTAATTTTTCACGATCTAAATTTCCTAAAGTACTTACAGTACCTGAATTTGAATCAATTGTGATAATATTTAAAAGAAAAGTTGGAGTTTCATGGTCAAGACTAAAACGTAATTTAGCATTTTGACCTTCATCTTTATCAGTGGCATGAATAGTTATAATTTCAAAGTTTGATTTACTTCTATCTGGATCGGAATCTTCAATAATTTCAACATTGTAAACATTCTGTTCACAAATTGGATCATGATCATTGATATCAATAATTTTTATACGTTGTGTAAGGGTGGTTGTTAGCGAAGGAATTCCACCATCATGACATAAAATAGTAAACTCTATGACATCATTTTCTTCTCTGTCTATTCGCTTTTCCATTGTTATTTTATATTTATGATTGGAGCTTGTCAAACCTAGGTGAACACCTTCAGTGTTGATAGGAATTAGACGTAGCACACCTGACATAGTTTGATTAATTATTTTACAGTTAACAAAAGCATTAGTTCCTGTATCTCCATCTGAAACTTCCACAATTCCTATATCTTGCCCAGGTGGTGATTCTTCGATTATTTCCAAATCTTTTGAGCCAGTAGGAGATAGGACTCGAACACGAGGAAAATGATCATTTACATCTATTGCATTTACAATAATCTGTGTTACCGATAATTCTGAAATTATCTGAGATTTTAAATGTCCTAATGTAGTATTATCAGGATTTTTGGCAAATACTTTTAAAACATGTTGCGGTTTTTGTCGATAATCTAGACGATTACGTAATCTAATTTCACCGGTATCCGAATCAATATAGAAAAATTTCTCCTCATCCATATCATCTGTGTATGAACTGAAACTATAAATAATCCTGCCATTTTCATGTTCATCCTCATCAATGGCTTTCAATTTTAAAATTATTTGATCTATTGGTGTATCTTCACTTACATTTACAATATACATAGATTGTTCAAATATTGGCATATGATCATTACAATCTTCTACAAGTATGGTTACATTCAGATAACATTGATGATCACCTGATAAGTGGCCATCATCGGCTACAATTTGAAAGGAATAACTTTGTTGTTTTTCATAATCTAACTTTTGAATTAATTCTAATTCTAAATATATATTAGATATTGTAACATTGTTCGATAATGAAAGACTATGTAATTTAAAGTAATTTAATATATTTTGATTATTATTTATTATATTCGAATCATTCTTGATCCAAATACGATCTGGTTTCACAGAATTCCCATTGATCATATCATCTGGATCATATGGTATATTCAATGTAAAACGTGTATCATTAATTAATGAATCTTCACGAATTTTAATCATTTGTTGATTGGATGGAATAAATTGACAACCATTATCATTAATATCTTTCAATTCAATAATAACATCAAAGATAGTTATTAATTTATTACTAACAGGCGGTTTATATTTTATATGATTTGATATATTTAATAATGGTGTTGTATTTAAACAATTCACACTAAAATATAATTCACATTTAGTTAATATCGGATAATTGATTATTGATTGTTTCATTGATTGTTCATAGAATTTTTGTTCTTTATTTAATTGATTATTTATAAAACATAATTTTTCTCTATCTAATCTATATAGATTACTTATATCACCAGTATATTCATCAACATGAAATAATTTTGAAGAATCATCATGATTAGATAGTTTAACAAAACGTAAATTATTTAAACTACCATTTACATGATTTAATAAATTTCCAATAAAGGTATTAATTTTTAATTCTTCATGAATATGAAATCGTATAATCCGTGTATCATTCAATGTTATACAACATATAATTAATATAAATTGTAATTGTTGATGAATTATATATACCAATTCCATTCAAAGAACCAAATATTTAACATAACGTATATTACAATACAATTCAAACTATACAAATCATATTAGATAAGATATTCTATGTAATTAAAATTCATTATTCAATGGATATGGAAGAATTTAATAGTGAAAAAAAAAATTGATAACCAACTTTTAATGAAAACTATTTTGTTTCGTTTTTTTTTTATTAAATTTTTATTTTACTTCAACAATGATGTGATCGTGAAGAATTTCAGATGATTGTCATTTATTTAGTTAAAATGAATTTGATTGGTCCATTTATTTTTATCCAATCATTTCCTTTTAAATTTGTTGTTGTTGGTGGTGTTGTTGCTCATTCACTTAGAAACAGTCAGTATAACCATAATTTCTTTTATTATGTTATTTAAAATAATAAAAAGGATTAAATTCTATTTATTAAGAAAGAGATAAATTTGAAATGTTTTTATTTATTCCGGGTTAATTGATTTGAATTCTCTATAGTTTTCTATGAATTAATATTAGTATTCTATTAAAATAAGCTTTGAAAATATAAATTCACTATATACAGATCATTAAATTGAGGTAGCGACAAAACAAAAGGGCTCTAATTTTCGATTGATGTTAGCTTTCAAAAAAATAATAATGATAATAAATTTGTCCACTCAAATGACTCGTTTTATTGTATTGATGAAAGAATGTAAAGTATGTAAACATAACTTTAGAAAAAGAATTATTTGTCTACTGTTGAAACTTATCTTCGAAATTGAATATGAGATCAAGGTTTTTAATAAATTTAAGAATTATGTATGAATGAATGAGCTATTCGGTTAGTCTGTTGTTGAGATGAAATATAAGAGTACATGAATGAAAAAATAATACAGAATCTGGCCTGTGTTGAGAGGCTGAACGATGATACTTCGAAGTTGAAAGGAGAAAGTTATAAAAAGACTGATATTCTGGGTCACTTTTAAATAATTAGGTATCGAGTAATGAATTCTTTTTAACATAACAACATTGTTTGAGGCGTATAAAAAATGGCAGAGAAAACAAACATATATTTGTATTCACCATTAGTGTAATAACGAGTTTCACCCACAAAAGTAAAACATTATTAAGAAACTACTACTTCAGCTATAGAGATTTGTTGCTGAGGATTCTAGCTGATTAATAATCTTGTATTCTACTGCTGACAACTGTCTAACAATTGCTAAAATTTGTCGTTAAATAACACAATCTGCTCAGGATGCACAATTTATACAAGATATTGGTCATCTACAGTCATTAAATTCAACAACAGACGTCTAATTGAACAGACTTAATCAAAAACATGTCACCTTATAAGAGATATGTGGATATCTCAGTTGTCTGTGAAACGACGGAGGATATGAACGGTTTATTGCACAAACTTAACACTCTCCAAAACCACATTAGTCTCTCAAACGAAGAGGAGAATAACGGCCAGTTTCCTTTCCTATACATACTTTTTTAAGTAGACGAGAAGATGGTTCAATCAAACGATCCATTTATAGAGAACTAACGTGGACAAGCCAATACTTTGATGATTATAGTTATTGCTCTGTGCAATACAAACGTGGTTTGATAAGTTGTCTGTTTAACAGGCTTGATCGTATTTGCAAAAATAACGCTATTGATGGTGATGTTAGGTTTTTGAACAAACATTAATAGAAAATGTCTAGTCCCTAAATTCATAAATTGATGCAAAGATCATGGTACAGTGAGACCTACTATAGCCCTGGTAGAAAAAAAGCCCGTCTACATCATCTTACCATTTAGAGGTGATTCAAACAGCCTTTTATTGAAACAAAGGCTTAAAGCAGTTATTAATTAGACGTATTACGCAGTAAAGGTTATTATCGAGGAAAGAATAAGGTCCATGCTTCATCGAAAACCTAGATGTCATGAAAACGATTGGGTCACATCCTACTGTGTTTATCAATTTCAAAGTGTGTGGCCACACAACGTGATCTCAAAATTAGGGTGTGCGAACATGTTATTAAATGGTTGCAGAAACGTAAACTCAGACGACCCAAAAGAGTAAAGTATAAGTATCCATAATCCTCTATTGTCAAACACGTAGTTCAAACAGATCATAAGATGGATCTTAACCCGGCTTTTGCGATGGTGTACAAAAGCGTAAAAGAGCGTATTCTAAGGTTTATTGAAGCCTTGGTCATATGAAAATTCAAACCCTCCTTGTGTATTCAAAAACAGTCTGTTTTTACCTTAAACCTACACTGATAACATTAGCTTATTATCCAGAGTAATGAGGTTTCAAATTGTTTTCACATTATTTCCTTATTATCCTTGTCTCCTCTTACCATCCATTTCTAGTCTAGTTGGCCTATTATTTTTATACATGAATGTTCTCAACAAGCGTCTGTGTGATCAGATTGTTCGAAATGTAATGCACTAATATATCAAATAGTTTTGATAATCATCGTCTTCATATTACACTATCGAAATTTCACAAATAAAATAAAAACTTATACTCGTAAACTAAGTGATCTCATTAGCTTAGCGAATAAGGCGTAGGATGTTTGGAGAGGTAACAGGTGGATAAGTGGACCACACATGGTTTATTTTATTCAATATTGACTGTATGAAACAAATCGTTTAATTGATTTGAGTCCAACAGACGTTTTCTAAAGAGATTGTAAATTTCGCTCTGTACGAATTATTGGAATGTTTTAAACATATACCTTATATGTTGTTTTTCATTTAGTTAGCACACACATTTTTTCCTTAATTTGGTCAAACACGAAATGTCCATTATGTTAATTTCAATAGTGTTTTCAACTTTTCTACCTAAATTTATGAAAAGCTAAGTGGCAAAATTTTGAATAATTGGAGTGTAATTGTTTTTCCTTAAACAGTATTTTGAAGACTTGAAAGTTGCCATTTGACAAATAACAATTAAATTAGCCCTTCAGTCATATAGTTGAGTCTTTTCAACAATTCATGTCTAAATATTTTCAAGTCTGTTGAATTTTTCATGCACGAAGCTCACAGTAGGCAATGTTGTCTATTTATGACACGTTTACAAACATTAACACAAGTTGGTTCTAAACTATAATCTGTCTAATAATACGTATTAGTCTTCTAGGTCATTGTTTGACATTTACACACTTATGATGTACTAAAACATGTCTTTTGTTGGGATAAACTAAATTAGGACAAGGTCACTTAACGAATGAGGTTAATGTTGTTAATCGTGATGCCAATACTTAGCCTTTTCATAAGACATTACGATATAAATAGCCATTAGTTGAGTAAGATTTGATGAAATTTTACGGGTTATTAGGCAACTTTGGTCTGTGATTTGTGGAAGAATCAATCAGTCCGAAAATATATGTGTGTACTGATGACGAAACGATTTCAATGAGAGGAATACTGATAAACACGAAGCTGTAGGCAGCTATTGCAGCCTATCTTTTCTAAAAAATAATTATATACGCATATAGAGAGAAGTAGTGATGAAGAAATTTCCTTTACATTTGATCGAATAGTTTCACAGTATTTGGGCACCGAGTTGATGTGAGACATTAAAGAGGAAGAGTATATTTTTAAAATCTCAGCGAATGAATTTGAAGTAATTCCTTGAAAAGAAACTTGGACCAGATTACTAGGCAAAACGTTGGATTTACTTCGAATTCATTCTCTGAGATTTTATAAATAAGTCATATCGAATTATTTAAAAAGGAGAATAAACAACAACATTATTTTCTGATTATTCATCTAAGTTTTACATAAATGAATTGATATGTAGACGAGAATGATAATGATTGTTCGTTTGCTTGATCCGACTTGTAGATAGTCTGACAAGTGTCAGATAAGTTATTTATTCGCCTATCCTTATAATTATTAGCTCCGACTGGAGCCACTCCGGAGGCTACTGCCGGTCCCAAGTCCAGGTAAAGGAGGAGGGTTGGACATGGTGTTAGCGAGCCCATTTCGTAGAAAATTAACTCACTAAAGACACGCTAACCAAAAAAGTAACTCAAACCATTTAAACTCTACCCTGGAAGTTAGTTCTTTATTTAAAAAAGTTATAACTCCTCATGGTGAAAACCTAGTTCCTTAGGAAGTCACGAGGCTGATGCCTCAGAGCAACCATTAATTTAGTAAATTGAATGCTCGTACAGTGTGAGACCGGGAGATTTTCCCAAACGGCTACGGAATTGTTTATTATTATTGATTGTTGATGGTTGTTGGATTGTGTCGGCTTGTTGTTGGTTTTTGATGTGGGAATATATTTACATTCTAATCAGGCTAATCACGTGTCGTTGATCTCGGTCCTGTAGAATGAACACTGGGAAGGAATCGAGTGTAGATATTCACCTAAGGTAAATTAACGTCCATTCATATATACAAAAAAACCGAGCATTATAACATGAATACAGTTCACTTTAAAATTTTGTAACGATACAGTAATAGATAATGTTTATCGCTGAAATTAAATTACTGTCCATAAGTCAACTGAAACGGTAATATATACGTATATCTATATCCTGTTGATTAAATTTGATTACTCAGCTTTAATAACAAACAAGTTAATACAACATATTATAAACCATTATAAATTTCATACTTGTTATTTAGACATTTAATGAGAGAAACCTATAACAGTTTGATCATAGAAAATCCTATAACAAGGTGAAATTAATTCAATTTGATCTGAATTAAATTTATTAAATAATCAATAAATAAAATTTTCTGATGACATTAAATGTGACAGAAATCATTAGTGGAACTTTAATTGGCGGTGGCTCAATTTTATGGATTGGTTGAAGTTAGACATTAACACCGTTGGATGCCGATCGGCATAGTGGTCTAGAGGTTAAGCGTTCGCGCGCGAGACCGATAGATCCTGGGTTAGAATCCTGTGTGGCTGAATCGTAGATGCACACTACTGAGAAGTTTCATACTAGGATGAAACGGTTATCCAGTGCTTAAAGGATTTCCATGGTGATCTAACTTCAATTGACTCATGAATTCAACTATTAATTTATTATAATATCGATAAAAATCCCTTCTGATAAAAATCATCACGATTTATTTCATACATTTCAACATTTAACAAATGTTTACTAAACATTTTATCATTGTATTTTTACTTTGTACAACTACTGAAAGAGATCAGCCATACTGATGCTTTATATCTGTACACAAATGCTGATTAGATGTTGTGTACAAAGATTTTGTAAAGGCTAACCTTACTT